CGGCGCCGGCCAGCGCGCCCGGCCTGCAGGCCCTCAACCCCAACCGCCTCTCGGCCATGCGCGAGGCCTTCTCCCGCAGCCGCAGCATCAGCACCGACGTGTGAGCCGGAAAAACAAAAAAAAAATGTAAAAAAAGGCAAAAAAGGCAACCCAAAAGAATGTATTTCTACACCAGGCCGGATTGCTCTAAAAAGGGTGAGCGGGGAATGAGGTGTGAAGGTGAGGATGGGTGCAGCGGGGCCGCGGGGTTTTTCTAGGCGCCCTGTTGCAATGGGGTTTTTCTCTTTGCTTGTTTTTATAAAGAGCGTTTTGATATCGGGCATCCTTTTATAAAGAGCATCCCGGCCGCTCCGCCGGGATTCCCTGCGGCTCCGCGGAGCGAGGGGCTGCAATGGGTGGCATGGGACCGGCACGGTCCTGCGTGGGGCGGCCGCCGGAGCGCGGGAATCCGGTCGCCGATGCCCAAACGGGCTTCTAGGGAAGGCAGAAAAGCTGCAGAGAGAGGGAAAAACATCCCTGGAGCCTCCCCTAATGCAAATAACAGCGTTTCTCATGCAGGGAGCAGAGCGCTGGGACACGGCGAGCGTGCACGGGTGCACCCATGGGTGCACATTCCCATGGGTGTTATAAAAAGCCACTTTCTCCTTCCTGGAAATACGGGTGGGATTTAAGCAACGCTATGGCTGCCCCTTGCACCAGGCTCTGAGAGCCACGGATTCCTATGTGTGAAATGGGGCAGAAGGAGCTTTTTGGGGTATTCCCATCCCGCATCAGACCAGCATCTCCTGGGCTCCGTCATTCCGGGTTTCCTTCTCGCTGTCTCCATCTGCCCTGGTCGGCCTCAGCCCATCACCTTGGCATCCTGGCTCTAAGAGCAGCGCTCTCCTTCACGCATCACTTTTAAGGATGCGAGGAGGAGGAAGTAAAATGGCCTTGAAGGATGCAAGGAGGAGGAAACAAAATGGCCTTTTGGGCACATGGGATGATAAACGTGGGCTGCAGCCACCCGGCTATTTTACCAAGGACCTCGGGGGCTTTTAATTCCAGGGGGAACCTTTTGAAATACCCGTCCATCTTTGCAAAGAAGCATCTTGGACAAACCGGGGGATTGGGGAGGGTGTTTGGGGGGTGGTTCTGGGCTTGGTTTCTTATGTGTTGAACGGGCCGGGTCTGCTCCGTGCTGGGGAGCAGCCGCGGCCCCGCTTTGTACAGTTCTTACTGCGGGTCGGTTAAACACGTTTCGACTTTGCCTTCCTCGTGGCCGTACTGACCCCTCCGTCCTGCCTTCCCCCTCATCCTAGTTTTATTTTCCCTCCTTCCCCCCTTTCCAGTGTAGCTTGGACCCTAAGCAACTGAGTGACTGTTGCACTGTCCCGTGGCGAAACGTTGTAACGTTGTACAGGACTCCTGGCATCACTGAGAAAATTTAAAAAAGCAAAAAAAATAAAATAAAATAAACTGATGTGGGTTTTGAGGTTGACCTTTTTGTACTCATAGCTGGATATACATAGCCTCCTTTGCCAGTGTTACACCTTGGTGCACGGGAGAAGCAATGTGGGCCCAGTAATTCTTTGCCATAGGGACCCACAGGAGCAGCGAAAGCCTCTTCTACCACCATAAATATGACAACTTTATTAAAATATACATATGAGTACAAATTAATGATTATACGGATAAAGTTCACTGTCTGTAAACAAATATATTAAAAAAGAGCACGTCTTCTTTTTGTGATATAAAGTGCAGTTATGTTTCCATATTATTATATACAATATGTCAGCATTATGGGGGTGTTGGGTATTTTTTTCCTTTTTTTTTTTTCTTTGGAAGACCTATGGAACTAACAGTTGATTATAAGCTAAAATCTTCTGAAAAAGTATACACCTACATATTACAAAAAAAAACAGGGCGGGAGGAGGGCTTGGGCTCGAGTTCATTTAGCAAATGAAAAGTCAGCTTCCCACCACATTAAATGCAGTTAAAAATACGTCTCGGGGATAAGTCAGAAAACGGGTGCTCGGCTCCTTTGCGAGGGAAACAAGCGGGTGCTTTTGTGTCACAGCCCATGGGATGAATCACAGCTGGGATGAATCAAATACACCCGGGTCCACGTGCGGCGCCGAGCACGGGGGCTGCCACCGCACAGGAGGGCAGCGCTGGCTTGGGAGAGGAAGCAGGAGGGTGTTTTGCAATGGTGGAAAAAAAAATCTTTTTTTTTAAAAAAAAGGCAGTTTTTGGCCGGCCCCTAGGAGTGGGGCGCGCGGCAGGAGCAGCAGCAGGCCTTGCTGTAGTACCAGTGGCTGCACAGGTTCACCTTGATGGCCAGAGCGCAGTTGGTCCCCGCCTGGTCCTGGCAGCTGTCGTCTAAGGAAGAGATGGGGAGAAAAATCAAATGACATGAAAACAAAAAAAAAAACCTAAAAGTTGCAAGTTCTTTAATGCATTTTTCCCTTTCCTCACTCACTCCTTTTCCATCCTTGTTTCTTTTTTTTCTTTTCTACCATGCGCTGTTTGTGTAAGTGGAGGACACCCACTTCACCCTTGCTCACAGCAGTGATGTCCCCAGGACATGCAGGGAGACCGTGGCCACATCCCAATTGCATAACACCTGCAGGCTACTGCCTTTTGAGCCATCTTTTGCATAAAAGTAGAGGATTTAAGCTTTTTTGTTTTTATCTTTTTGCCCCAAACCCACGGGATGTCCCAAACCAGGCTGCTCCGAAGGCAGCACCTCGCAAGCATCTCCTGCTTCTGGGCTCTTGTCCCCTCCTTATCCCCTGATCCTGTTAAGGAATTAGGGCCATGTGTTCACTAAAGATCAGGGGGGCTTTGAGCCAGCAGCGGCCAAGGGAGATAATGAGATAGTTACAAATCCCATTGGATGCTCGGGAGACCAAAATCATTAAAATAACAGTATGGAAGAAACACCCTCAACATGAGCTGGATCTCGTGCCGATGGCCACTACCGGTACTGATACTACTCAGTATTACCTTAAGGTCAGGGCTCGCTGCTCGGGGTGTCTCCCCTCAATTTAATACATTTGTCTCCCAAAATATCCCTGCACGGGGAGACGAATGAGGCAGGAGAGCTGCCCCCAGGGCATCCCGGCCGCGAGGGCCGTATGGAGGCGGATGCGTTTGTAGGAGCGGGGCCGCTCCGCTCACCTGGGGGCTCGGTGGGGCAGGGCTGCAGGTCGCAGGTCTGCTTGCCGACCGGCTTCACGAGCGGGTCGCAGCCCCGCACGATGTCCTTGCCCTGGTAGCACTTGACGTCCCGCATGCGCACGCCGATGCCGCACGTCTTGGTGCACTGCAGCGGGACAGAGCAAGGGGGGTCAGGACCGAGCTCGCTGGGGGTTTCAGCAAGGGATTGCAAGGAAAAGAGAGAGGTGGAGGGGGAAAAAAAGCCCCAAACACCCCAAGGGGGATGTCTGTGTTTGCAGCTTGGTGCAAGGAGCATCCCGTGTGATTCCCCCCGCAGCTCCCTACCTCCGACCAGGGCGTC